AAGGATTAGGATAAGTGGACAGAAGAAGGGAAGGAAAAGGAGAGAAGAGAAGACCATGCAAAATTAGTGGAGGTGAGAGCTGAGGTTCAAGACAGGGGTGAACGGCAACAAGAAGCAAGGGGGGGGGGCAAGGTAGGGGTGATATCCAACATTGTGCTTCAGTCCCCATCTCTTAAAACCCCCTATGAAAGCAATGAGTAAGGGATTGGGGGATGTTTAATATACCTTATCAACATGTTAAAATGTAGTTAATAGGTGCCATTTTCTTCATTCTTCTAATAGGTGTTTTTATCTTGTACTTTCCTCTGTCTTTTTCATTCAATTACACTTCCTAACTTAAAGAGTATATGTAAAAAAAATATCTTAAAGTAAGAACAAATGCTGAAGAAAGTTTCTGTTTAAGGATACTTCCAAGGAAACTGTTGTTAACAATTTATTTCAACCATCTATACATTATATTTTACAATTTTCTAGTATATGTACAATTCTTTCATATTACACAATGCTATAAAAATATCAAGAACAGACAATATCTGGAGCAAACCTAAGTTTACTATTCCAGTTTTCTTTGTACGCATCATAATTCAGAAATATGTTTGAAATGGCAACTCATCTCTAACAAAAGTTGGGTATAATTGTATGTTGTTACAATTCATTCAACAAAAAGTGATAACTTTGGAATGGAAATGCATTACCATATTACTTATGTATGAATATGAACAGCCTTTACTTTTGTTACTTATACTGAGAACTTTGGTTTTGGAACACTTTTCACAAATACATTCTATTTACATGCACTTGAACTTGCTAACCATTGTTGTTTGATCTTTCTACACTGAAGCTCGGGACTTTAATTCAATAAATATTTGCATACATATATTTGTAGGTACTTCTCCAGCAATATGCAGATGGATGTCTTTATGTATATGTATTTAAGAAGTACTTCCATTCTTCTTGAAAGTTCTTATTATAAGAAACAAATACTGGTAAACAAATAGTGATTATGTAGAATGTGTACATTAAATTCTCTTTAAGAACATTTATCCAATTCTATTCAATTTTAACAGATAATCCTGATTTGCCGATATTTTTAATGATCTATATTATTGAACACCGTAGATATATATTGAAAGTTCTATTAAATATATACTGGTCACTGTATTTACTGTATATACTGTATTTATTTAATTTTTTAAATATCCATGTATTTGAAACACCAAGAATTAAACTCTGAATTTGTTCATTCTTTTTATCAATGCTACAAAGGCTATGATATCATCATAAGCAATATAGAAAGAACAAATTAATTCCCATATTCATAAAGAAGAAATAATTCCCTAACATAACATGCTGCTCTCAGCTAACTGGTTCAGGCTTTGATGGAGGAGCACTGTTTGCATTTTCAACCGCAGCTATAACAGCTGCACTAAACACAGTCTTCTTTGTTTCATGCTCACTTCGCCAGGATACCTAAAAAAAGAAAAGAAAAAAATGAAAAATTAAAAAATTAACAAATTATGTAGAAAACCTAAGGATGTAACTTTTCCCCACTTCTTAACTGGAATATCAACTACCAACATTCCCCATACAAATGAGTAAATTTTACATATAAACATAACAAATATAGGTCCAAACTATTATGAAGTGTCTCTTACCTTGTGTTTCTTATGCTGCACTGCTGCCTGTGCTCTCTTTAGCATAATTTCCTCAGAGAACACACCATCCCTTGAAGCATATGTAGTCATCTGCCAATCTAAAGCTAAGTTTGTGATCTCACGTCCTGACATCCCTTCAGTAAGATCAGCCACTTTTGTACATGCTCCACTATAGTCAAATTGTGCCACCTTCAGTCTCCTGCAAATCAAATAACTCATTAGTGAATTTTAAACAAATATATCAACATTCAAAAGATAAAAGCTCTGTAACTAATAAAACTTTTGCTACCTCTTCTCATCTAGAGCATCTGTATTCTAGCAACAATAAAATTTAGTTGAGATCCCTACTTAATATGAACAACTAGCATTGAATCATACTGACCTTTTGCCCTCTGCTGCTGGCTTTAGGATATACTTTTCAAAGTAAAGTCTGACTAAGCGCTCCCTCTCTACTAGAGTTGGCAGAGGGAATTCTACAGGTTCATGAACACGATCAACAACAGCAAAATCAAGTACTTCTGGGGTGTTGGATGCTAACACCATCATAAATCTGTAGATTCAAAAATTATATCAGTATATCCAGGTATAGAAGACAATAATTTGTAACATCAAATAGTTAACAAGTGGTATTTCCAAATAAAGCAACCAGTTCACACAGTATTTTATAAAAGAAGAAATGGACTCTAGTTGAGCAAAAAGGCCCTATTCATATTCTTACTCCAACTTACTTGTCAGTCTGAGTTCCCGTACGATACAAGAAAGCACTAATGGCCATCCTCAATTCTTCACTAATATTTTCATGACGTTTGCGCAGAAATCCTTCAGCTTCATCAATGAAAAGGATAAGACCCTTTCTTGATGTACCTGCCCAATCAAACACCTGAAATATGATCATTACATCTTGATTGAATAAAAATTAAAACTTTAAGCAATAACTATATCAGTGATTAGGGTAAAATTCTGAAAGCCTGAGTTAAGAAAATATATAAAAGTATTGGTAAAAAAAGAAGAAAAATATATAGGGCAGGTTTTTTCACTGATATCTATCATCAATTTTGAATCTTTCTCTAGCAGAAAATTATAATTCTGACATAAGTCTACAGACTTGGAATCATTCTCTAGCAGAAAATTATAATTCGGACATAAATCTGCAGACCTAGAATTCCTTGTTGGACAACTGGAGTGGGTTAACTTTTACATATGCAACACCATAGTTTCTTTTACCCATATTATTTTGAAGCCTATACAACAAAAGGTCATGGGAAAAAAAGAGAGAGAGAAAAAAAAATCTTTTACATTGTGTACCAACCTTCAAATTCCCCACAGGGTTACCACATCTTACTGTTCATAAGAATTTTTAAAAATTTTACCTTGTGAATGGCTCCAACAGATTCCCTGCCTAGAAGAGCGATGTCACCACCCGTCATAATAGCATAATCCATTCCAGAGTGCATTGCCAATTTCTGGAGAAGATTAAGTATTAGCATTAAAGCTTTGTTTAAGAAAACATAATTATTGTACATGTGGAATACTATAATTAGTCTTATAAATTGTCAATACTGACACAATATGATTTTAAAGTAACTCAGTTGTCATATCAATTACAGAAATAATAAGGATGCTAATTGTAAATAAAAGAATATAATCATACCTTGGCAAAGAGGGTTTTACCAGTTCCAGGAGGTCCATGAAGAAGAATGTTGCGATACATGCCTTTATTGAACTTGGTGTTCTTTGTAGCAATGGCAATGTCTCTGTAAATGTATATAAATGAGATGTATTACTTCATGCATATAAAAGGAAATTTTCCTGTTCATTTTTTAAAATCTTTTAACAACCTGCCGCTCTTTTAAAATATATAGTTTTAACATTTGATTATACCTTTTGCACTGCAATATTTATCAAAATCTGAAGTTCCAAATTAATTCTAAAACTCCTTTGTTATAGATTTCATTAAGACCTTTATCTCCTCCTCAAAGAGTATACTTAATCTTTTCTCAATCACTACTATTTGTAAACCCTTACCTGACTCTTTCTTCTAGACTGGGGTTGAGAACAACTCCTTCTAAGACATCTTCAGGTCTCTTCTGAACCTTCTTTACAGTCTGCACTGGATGTCGCACAACATCAAAAGCACTGATCCTTGAGGTCTCACGCACTAATGATGGTTTTGCTGTTTGAAGAAAAGGAGATGTATGGTATGTACCTTTCCTTTACAAATTCACTACAAATGTTGATTAATCATGTCAAAGGAGGATATTTAAAACTTGCAAAATATTTCATATATTTATGACTTCTTTTTCTTAATTTATGGATTTCATTAAGTTTTTAAAATCAATAACACTTTTCCATCCTTACCTAGTCTTGCTTCCATAAACCTGAATATAATGCCCAGAGATCCTTTGGCACCATAATACCCAGCAGTAAGAGCCACAAGGCCTGCAACTGCAGCTTGTATCTTGGATGGTTCACTTAAAAATGCATCTATGCCAGTTCCAATTGCTGCCCCCGCTGTTCTGTAAAATCATATTATGGTTAGTCTTTTGTCGATGGATATAATACATATACCATCTTAAATATTTCCTTCTTTATTCATGATAAAAAAAAAGTTTCCAGTTGAAACCATATGTTTCCTCATACTGATTTAAGCCCAAATATTTGTATCTTGTTTAAAATTCAACACCGTATAAAATAAATCTGTGATGTAGTACTGCAGAAAACTGAGCTCCAATTCCAAAACACATACTTTATAGAAGACAGGATTGTTTCACGTTTCTCTATCATTGACTTTAGGGTTGTCTCCCTGTCTTCAGCAGCACGGACCCTGATCTGTTCAAGGGTTAAATCTTGATTTTCTCGATCCACCTTGGCTTTGCTTGTCATTTCTGCTTCTATTCTTTTTAAATCATATTTGTGCCTCTGCTCCAGTTCATGCTCAATAGTAGCTGTCAAATGAAAATGATGGTAATAAAAATATATAAGATATGATGCTTTCAATTATAAGTTACAGAAAATCAAAGTCAAGTACAAAATTTCATTAAAACATGAAACACACATAGGAATCATAATTTCTAACCAACTCTTCAACTCAAAGGAAAAGAAAACAAAATGTGGGAACTCTGTTACAGAATAATAATACCTTTCCTCATAGCCTCTTGCTTTGCAACTGACTCCTCCTGCCTCCTCAGGTTATCCTCATTCATTCTCTGCTGCTGAGCCAGCTGGTCTTCATACCTAAAAATGACTAAAGTTCATCACATTCGTTACCTAAACATTTTTCATTTCTATTCTTAGGTATATTAATACTTTCATACAAAAATCAAGACTAATTAATTAATAAATAAAGGAATACCATGTGAATAAACCATGTGGATAAAGTGTATTAAATGAAAAGCAGACACTGTAAAATGACAAACTAAAAATGCTCATGCAAAAAAGAAAAAGAAAAAACAACAATGGAGAGGCATGAAGTCTTGTCAATGCACATGAGTGTTCATGTACACCCAGCCAACAAGACACACATGTCAGATTGGTCGCTCAAGTAAGCCACATGTGGGCAGTGAAGCACCCATGTCCAAGAGATTAATAGATACATTTTCTTTTTCACAAATAAACATTGGAAGTATTCTATGCATACTCTTGATGCCATCCTATTTATCATATAATCTTAGAAGAATGAATAGCTTTAAATAATGGATGATAATGGGATACAAATCATTCCCTCTTTGGTATGACACTAACCTCTTCCTAGCCAGCTGGTCTTGATACTGTGACTTTTGCTGGTCAAGTTTTGACTGCTCTTGCAAAGTCTTCCTTCGCTCCTCCTGTTCTATGCGTTTCCCTTCTGCTTTTGCTGCCTCTATTTGCACCTAAGAAAAGATATACTTTGTTAAAAATTATATATAGTTGATTCTGTGTTAAAAATCTTTTCATTCTTTTTCTTTTTTTTTGTGTTATATATGACATATGTCATATATAACTCTGAAACATCTACTTCAAATTAGAATTCTAAATTATTATTATTATTTTTTTAATCTACAAACCTCCATTTCCTTAGCTTTTGTCATTATCTCCTTCTGCTTTGTCTCTTCCTGCATCAATGACAGACTGAGGGCTTCCTTTGCAAATGCTGAAATTTTCAAGTCACATATGAGTCATATCCTAAAAATTAGCAACTTCATAAAAATTTAGTGCAGAAAACTATTTGACCAGAGTAAACATTTCCCCATATGAATACACACCTGACTTCTCTAAATCTTTGGCAGCCTTAGCAGCACGTTCCAAGGGCGGCCGAGTCAAACCGGTATGCCTCCATGCTGGTGTTGCCCCTCCCACGGTCATTTGGTCCATTTGGTCCATCTGGCCCTCCATCACCGCCTGAAGCTCCAGGAGGTGGCACAAACTGAGAAAAGTCCTGAGGGCGCTGGTTCATACCAAAAAGCCAAGACATGGTGTACCTGCAAGTCAAAATTAATCAATTTAAGTAACATGAATACTCCATGCTCTCTGGTATCAATCATAAAAAAAATATTATTAGATTATTGTCTTCCATGTACATCCTCATCTGTGAATACATTCACTGATCAATTAGAGATTATGAAGTTAAAAGACAATAAATAGAAAACTAGCTTTCTCATGACTAACAGGTCTTCAGTATAATTTGATTATGGTAATCTATATCAAATCTTGTACTGAAAGTACCATGATCACATACCTAATATATCAAAGCAAATTACTTAACATAAAAATGTAGCCAATAATGAGGTTTATAAATATACTTTTAATGAGAGATGTTGAGACCTTACAAAAATCTTTCAAAACCAATTAGGCATCTATAAAAATTAATAATAACCACAGTATTTACACTATCTTGCCAATTAATTAAGTGTACAATGGCAACCTACATTTTTTTTTTTTTTTAATCTACAAACCTCCATTTCCTTAGCTTTTGTCATTATCTCCTTCTGCTTTGTCTCTTCCTGCATCAATGACAGACTGAGGGCTTCCTTTGCAAATGCTGAAATTTTCAAGTCACATATTAGTCATATCCTAAAAATTAGCAACTTCATAAAAATTTAGTGCAGAAAACTATTTGACCAGAGTAAACATTTCCCCATATGAATACACACCTGACTTCTCTAAATCTTTGGCAGCCTTAGCAGCACGTTCCAGGGCGGCCGAGTCAAACCGGTATGCCTCCATGCTGGTGTTGCCCCTCCCACGGTCATTTGGTCCATTTGGTCCATCTGGCCCTCCATCACCCCCTGAAGCTCCAGGAGGTGGCACAAACTGAGAAAAGTCCTGAGGGCGCTGGTTCATACCAAAAAGCCAAGACATGGTGTACCTGCAAGTCAAAATTAATCAATTTAAGTAACATGAATACTCCATGCTCTCTGGTATCAATTATAAAAAAAATATTATTAGATTATTGTCTTCCATGTACATCCTCATCTGTGAATACATTCACTGATCAATTAGAGATTATGAAGTTAAAAGACAATAAATAGAAAACTAGCTTTCTCATGACTAACAGGTCTTCAGTATAATTTGATTATGGTAATCTGTATCAAATCTTGTAGTGAAAGTACCATGATCACATACCTAATATATCAAAGCAAATTACTTAAATGTAGCCAATAATGAGGTTTATAAATATACTTTTAATGAGAGATGTTGAAACCTTACAAAAATCTTTCAAAACCAATTAGGCATCTATAAAAATTAATAATAACCACAGTATTTACACTATCTTGCCAATTAATTAAGTGTACAATGGCAACCTACAGAATTTCTTTTTCTTTTTTTCTTTTTTAACTTAAACTTTGGCCCCACAAGTTTTATATCTAATGCTTATCTAAAAATAAGTTGTGGTAAATTTTCAGTTTTACACAGCCATCCTACCTAAGAACTATCAATCCTTATTTCAATTATTCACAGAATAATATATACAAATATCTTAATGTTTTCCATTGTAAATGACATAAGTGTGAGTATTAATTACGAAGTGACTGCATCCCTCTGAGACTAAGTGCCTATTACTCCAGCCACTTCTGAGGGTCAACAAACATTGTTTTATGAACCGAGAAAGATGCAGTGATAGAGGGAACTGGACATCCACTGAAGATCACTAGCGATCTTAGTAGTGCACTACTCAGGGACTAATTGGTTAATTTTGAGAAAGAGAATTTTTATTACTAAATATATATTTTCATACTTGATTTAGATGTGACTTGCATGTTTTCAACATTCATTTCAACCACAAACCACCATTTGAGTTTTGGGTACCAACTGTAGCGACCACAGCACTACTGTAATAATTTCCAAGTTTCTCACTTATTTCTCTTAACAGGGGGCTTCACCCCTTCTAACCCCCTTCCTTGGGGGCTGCTGCTTTCTCAGATAACAAATCTTCACCTCCTATTCGCAAGATAGAGCCAAACTACAAGCAAGAGGAATCTTTGGCAACACGAACCTAACATGACCACAACTCAACACCTACATAATCAGAAAACATGGTAAAAAAAAATAATAATAATAATAAAGAGATATTATCTCTTATGTTATTATTAGTTTGCTGAGATAACGTACAGAGAAGAAATGTTTTAGATGGACATGTTTTCTCCAGATCCGGTGTCAAAAATGAGTTAAGCACACCTATACTAATAATGAAGTTTGACCGCTAAATCCACTAAACCCTAACACAGCCAGAGTTTTTAATTGCCATTTTTTATAAGTTAACACAAAGTGTTAATAAAGGGAACAGGGGTAGGGGGTTACCCCTATCAAGGAAATAAATAGAAGGTAGGAAAGGTTAGGTCTTGGTTTTAGGGTTCACATGATACCCTAGTTTTGGGACTTAGCTCTGGCGGGTGCGTCCCTCTCGGTAACAAATACCTTAAGCTTGTCTAAAAGTGCTATGCTATAGTTACATCATCCAAAATGAATTCGCATCTACAATTCTTGTCACAGATAACAACCACATAGCTTTTCTGCAACTCACAGTTCTTTATTTTCTACGAGGTGCAGTTACTTCTGTCACCTTCAACCTGAAACAGTGAGTTGCATAAACACAGTTTTCGACACAAACAAAACTTGGTTAACTTTGGTTTAAACTGACCAGTGTTTGGAGTCACGTAACCTCCTCCGTCTCTAATTAATCACATCTTTACTTCCTTATACGCTAAAAAAGACACAGACACCAAGTCAATTTTCACAAGGTACCAAGACTCACGGAATGTGTTTAATGTGTGCTGTAATAACTAATCTATGGTGTGGAGCTGACGACTTCTCCTAGCAGACGCCTTTCAGCACGTGTGGGCGATGACGTCACAGCAGCCTAGCGTTCTCCGCACATTTCGCCGGCTAGAATTTTAGGGAGAATTATGGTCTATTTCTCTGGAGTTTTTGTCTATTTGGAACATGTATGTGTTGATGCTTCTTTTTTTTTCAACGTGTTTTAGAAGTTGATGTTAAGGAATCATGTGTGTGTGTATGGTTACGAAACTTTTTTAAAGCTGAGTTGACGAAATGAAACATTTAGCTGCATCCGATATTTCAGTTAAAATGCTGATATGCCAATGAATTGTCTGTTAAAATGAATCAGAATATACGAATTGAGTGTAAAATCCCGAAGTACACTTTCTTATTCGACATTTTAAGAATATACGAGTGAATGTAAAATCGCGCAGCATACACTTCTCCTTCGACATTTATATGGTGATGTTTATACTTGACAAATTTTCATTTTTTGTGGCTAATTTTACAGATATGACAAGCTCAATCGTCAATGTAAATCAACCCGAAACCCAACAACAAATGGCTCTAAACATTCAAGGTCATCACAGCTTGCTGGACACTGTATTTGTGCTTCAATGCTCAGCTGTTGTCAGTTACTCACCAACGTCAGAGGTGACTAGTTACACGGGAGAACTTCACTCAGTCTGAAAATGTCTTCCTTTCCCGTTGCACACAAGCCCCTTCATACACCGCCACTGCAGGAGGTAGCAGAGGTGTTGCAGACCGCACTAAAGGCCAAATTCGCCAATGCCGAGGTTACAGTCGTTGATTGTCCAGATTTGACTAAACCTCCCTATGGACTAGAAGCAGCAGGATTGTGTGGATCGCCTCGGTTGGCTGACGTGGGGGGTGTGCCGTACCTCATGCCCATGGTGCAGAAAGACAAACTGTACGATGTTAAAGACCTTGCAGTTGCTGTTGGGCTTCCATCTGCTTTTGTGGTCGGCGCAGGAGCAGGACCTCATCCCTACGTGGGTGTCAACAGTGAAATGATGGCAAATATCAAGACAGGGGACAGCACCACGAATGGTTCCCGAGTAGCAAAAATA